ACACGCGCACACACACACACACTGACACACACACACACACACTGACACACACACACACCCACACACACACACGCACGCTCACACACACACGCTCTCACGCACACGCTCTCACACACACACACACACACACACACGCATCAGCCTCTTCCTGTGAACCGCACTGACACTTCTCTGTTCATTCTGAACCGCAGCCATGGTATATTCCACAGAGACGTGAAGCCGGAGAACATCCTGATCAAGGTAAGACCGTCCATGTGATTTAACAGCTGAATCATCACGTGTGACCCTGGAGCACAAAACCAGTAATAAGGGTCAATTTTGTGAAATTGAGATGTATACATAATCTGAAAGCTGAATAAATTATCTTTCCATTGATGTATGGTTTGTTAGGATAGGACAATATTTGGCCGAGATACAACTATTTGAAAATCTGGAATCTGAGGTTGCAAAAAAATCTAAATATTGAGAAAATCATCTTTAAAGTTGTCCAAATGAAGTTCTTAGCAATGCATATTACTAATCAAAAATTAAGTTTTGATATATTTATGGTAGGAAATGTACAAAATATCTTCATGGAACATGATCTTTACTTAATATCCTAATGATTTTTGGCATAAAAGAAAAATTGATAATTGTGACCCATACAATGTATTGTTGGCTATTGCTACAGATATACCTGTGCTGCTTATGACTGCTTTTGTGCTGCAGGGTCAGATTTGTTGATGAAAGTAAGCGTGCACACACACGATCTCGCTGTCTCTCACAGAACAATGTGCTGAAGCTGGCAGACTTCGGCTCCTGCAGGAGCATCTTCTCCAGACCTCCTCACACCGAGTACATCTCCACACGCTGGTACCGCGCGCCCGAGTGCCTGCTGACCGACGGACACTACTCGCAGAAGATGGACATGTGGAGCGCCGGATGCGTCTTCTTCGAGATCCTCAGGTCTTCCGCCGTGCTCTCAGACGTTCTGTGGTCATTTCTTGATTCTAATCAGTGGTTTCTGTGTCCTCTAGTCTGTGCCCTTTATTCCCCGGCCGAAACGAGTTAGACCAGATCAACAAGATCCACGAGGTTCTGGGCTCGCCGGACATCACGCTGCTGCAGAAGTTCAAACAGTGAGAACAAACCAGATTTCATCCCTCTGGACTGGAGAGAGAAAACTAACATACACACACAGAACCGAGTCAGCAGACAACAGCAGTTTAGAAAGCTTAGCTTCAATAGTGATTATAAATATCTGGGGCCAGTTGTTCAAAAGTAATCCGATGGGATTCTGGCCATCACATTGGATCAAATCTTGAAAATGGGTTGTTCAAAAGAAAAAAAGGATTCTGAATTCAGATTAGATCACAAAATCCAATCTTGGTTTTGATCTGGTTTTGATTAAATCCTCAGTTTGTGTTGTTCAAAACATTTTAGTAAGTTTGGCATACTTTTGATCCAAAAATAAAATCTGGATTATTCTGATCCCTGCAGAAGGATGGATTTCAGGAACAAAAATGTAATAAAACTTTAAATCTGGTCCCAAAAAATACATTTGAAACATGTAATATATCCCCAAATAGCTGTCAATATCAAAGAAAAATAAAATATTTAATTAATTTCTTAAATCACTGATTGTAAACGACATTGGCACAATCCCGTAGAGCACTCGTAATCCAGATTAGGAAATCTGCAGAAGTGTGTATCTGGATCAGGGTGATCCAATCCAGTTTTGCTTTGAAAAACCAGCACAGAAGTAAGATGGGTAACATTCTGATCCAGATTAAACTTTCTGAACAACTGGCCCCTGATGATCACTGCTTGATTTCCCAATAAGGAGTTTCATTTTTAGCTCAAATATAATGTAATTGAGAGTTTAAAGCGAAGCTGCTTGGAGCGGTGTCTGTGACGTCACGTGACTCTGTGGTTTGTGTTGCAGGTCTCGTGCGATGCGCTTCGACTTCCCTCCTCGCAGAGGCTGTGGCATCTCCCAGCTGATCCCTCAGTGCTCTGCAGCCGCTCTGTCTCTGCTGCACCAGATGCTGACCTACGACCCCGAGGAGCGCGTCAGCGCCCGCACAGCGCTGCAGCACCCCTGCTTCAGAGAACTGCGGTACGAACACCTTCAGAAGTGCAGGAACACAGCTTCACTTAAACATGCACTCGGGCGTTGTTTGCTCGTGAATGCATGTCTCAGTGATGTGAGAGAAATACAGCGGGCATGGAAAGCTGTCTTTGTTACTGTTACTGGCTTCGCTAAGCGTAAGATCGGGAACACAAGGCTTATTTTGTGATGCTGATGGGTGTCAGAATCAGTTCAATCACAAACATCAAACGACTGAGTGAACTCTCAGAGGTTCAGTCTGTACCTGTGTTCAGGTGCGAGTGCTTCAGCTCTTTCTGTGGTGTTTTCTGCAGGACGTCTGAGAGGAAAGCAGCGAGTCTGCGGAAGGCCATGGGAGCCGTGGAGGGAGAATCCAGCGGGATTCCTGCATCCGTGGATCAGCTGTGGAGAATCGCACGGCAGGGAAGACGACAGGTACTGAGACGCTACATTTATACAATGATTAACAAGGCACTAATCATGAAGACGTCAGGGAACGAGCTGAAGCTGAACAAACATCCCATCAGACATTAATCACGTAAACACAACATAAACATGATCGCAGACGCTTCGCTTGCACAAGTGAACTTGAGTACACACACTGACGTCGTGAATGCGCTCTTTGTGTTACAATGACGAGCGAAAACATCAAGAATGCTCAATATTGTGCTGCTTTAGAACATTTCAGGAGGGCATTTTTGTTGTTAACTTCCATTAATATTAGTGCTGTCAAACGATTAATCGCATCCAAAATAAGTTTTTGTGTACATAATATGTGTGTGCACTGTGTATATTTATTAAGTACATATAAATACACACACATGCATGTATATATTTCAGAAAAATAGGTTACGTTTATATATTAAATATATTTATATATAATTTATATGAATATATATACACGTAAATATTTTCAACATATGCTGTTTGTGTGTCTTTCTATATACATAATAAATATACACAGTACACACACATATTATGTAAACAAAAACTTATTTTAGATGCCATTAATCGTTTGACAGCACTAATTAATACATAAAACGTTTAACAAACATTATTCAATTTCAGTTGTACTTTGTCATCATCTAATGAACATGTTAAATAAACATGGTTACATATTGTCTTTCATTAAATGCATTTTGACAGAGAAAGCGAGTTTAACTGACAGACAGTAATCAGTGTTGACTCTCTGTTCCTCTCGGCAGCATCTCAAGCACGCCAGCGACTCGCTCAGCCGACGAAACGCCTCGCACTTCCCTCTGGAGCTACCAAAGCTCAGCGTGGTGATCCCGACGCCCACAATCCCTTACCCAGTGTCCAGCTTCCCAGCGCGGAGCGTCTCGCATCGCGGCTCTCTGCCGGCCATCTCCAAAAAGTGCCACTCGGCTTCATCAACAGTGATTGGTAGTCACACGTTAAACGTTTAGTGTCACACTGAGATTCTACCGATCGACCGAGTCGCTCTAGTGGCTTTTTTTAGTAGTACATAGAATAGATTTGTAAGCAAAATATGAACTCTGGAAACTCTTTCGTAAGGTTTGTTTTCTCTGCGTCTGCTGGACTTCCCGAGTCGAGCGATTCTCTTACAGAAATCTCTTATCAAAATACATCTGGGGGACTTTTGTACAAGAGACAGGAAAACAAACAGAAACCTGCATATTTAAGATTAATTTTAATATTATTATGTCTATTTTTCTGCTTTAGAAATGTCACTATTTCCTGTAATGATGACAGGTCCACTAGAGTTACTGATCATTTGCTTTTGCCCCGATAAATCACCGAATTACAATATTATACATATAATACAAAGCAGATTTTTATCTGAAACAATATTAAAATAAATGCTCAATAGATACAAAGTTTTAATCATAATTCTCCACATTATACCGGTCTGTGAGTCCTCGCACACATTAAATGTAAAGCCATTCTCTTCTAATAAACTATTAAGTGCAAACAAATTTTCTTTAAAAAACTATGATTGCAGCATCCAGCTTTTCAGATTCAGATTTCAAGACAGAGGATATTAAAGCCAAGTGCATCAAGGCCTTCCCCAAACATCTATCTCTTCCTTTTTTGTCTTTTGTGATCCTTTAAAGTAGTTACCAAAACAACAACCTAAATAAAATCAGTGCCAAGTCTTGAACAGCGGGTGGAATCTGTTCCATCAGAGAGAGGGAGAAGGTAAAAGCGTTGAAAGGATCTGTGCTGGAAGCGAGTCTGGAGCCGTGTGGACCACCAGGTCTTTCTCAGCAAACTGAGTTCAAGCCCACTGCTTTTCCACCTGATTAAATGATTCCCCACACCTCAGACAAGCTTGACATACACAGCAGAAATAATAACACCGTGAGATGCATTTGAGAGTGAAAGCAACAAAACAATTCAAATAAATACTCTGTTAGAACAGAAGAAATGTAAGGATCCCCTGCGAACACGGGCCTCCAGAAGCACAGCAAGAGCAGGAGAGGAGGAAAACCAGCGGTTCTGAGCGGAGCCGGAGACGTGGTGCGGTCTCATAGCAGCAGGAATATCGTGGCTATACTACTGTTCCACTGGGAGAGCTGGCTTGGTTTTGGGATGACAGCAACCCCTGGAAAAAAGAAGAGAAGACATTTGAACGAAGCCGTATACAGGAGGAAAAACATCTGACCAAACGTACAGATCACGGTCATGATGAACTAGTTACAGACCTACCGATACTGGGCTCCTTCACTAGCGCTCACAGCACATACAGCGTTCACCGTGAAAACAAGCTCTGCTCCAAAGCCTCAACTCAACAAGACTCCGCTATAATCGTAAAAATACTCTCCAAAACAAACATTTCTCTCTTGAGTGTCTGTGTTTATAGTGCTTCCCATCTCAGAGGGACGTCTGGATCCTAATGTTGACCAGGGGCCGTTGCATTAACTGCTTAGTCTAGTCTTTTAACTAGTCTAGTTTTCTTCAAGACTGGTCATAACTTTTAAAGTCAGTTGTAAAAAGGTAGATTGGCCCAGTTTGAATCAGAAAAGTAAGACTGATTTGCGTACTTGTTTAGCCAATTCTACCAGTCATACTTATGCTTCTTTAGACACTTTCCTTCTCCTGTACTACCAGTTGTAATGCTTTCTCAAAGTATTTTTGTTACATGTATCTGTCATGCATTTATTGCTCGTTATGTGTGTTTTTACTATCCATTTTCTCTGTTGTTTACTCAATTCTATGCTATGTGTCTCTGCTGTCTCATGATATGCAGCTGCAGTCATTTTTGTTTCTGGACCGGCCGGATGTCTACTGTCCACTTAACTATCTGAAGTGACTGTCCATTGTGTTACTGCTTCTGTAAAGCGGCTTTGAGCCTGGGAAAGGCGCTAACCCAAGTTGGTCAAACTAGTTCTTAACATAGTGGCTGTTTTATGCCACTGAAGTTCCTAACCCTGGTCCTGTGGATCCACATGCACCGCTTCAAGTCATATGTGACCCTGGACCACTAAACCAGTCATAAGGGTCAAATTCTCGAAATTGAGATTTATGCATCATCTGAAGCTGAATAAATAATCTTTCCACTGATGTATGGTTTGTTAGGATAGGACAATATTTGGCTGAGATACAACTATTTGAAAATCTGGAATCTGAGGGTGCAAAAAAATCTAAATATTGAGAAAATCATCTTTAAAGTTGTCCAAATGAAGTTCTTAGCAATGCATATTACTAATCAAAAATTAAGTTTTGATATATTTACGGTAGGAAACTTACAAAATATCTTCATGGAACATGAATGATTTTTGGCATAAAAGAAAAATGGATAATTTTGACCCATACAATGTATTGTTGGCTATTGCTACAAATATACCTGTGCTGCTTATGACTGCTTTTGTGCTGCAGGGTCACATATGATGATAATTTAATAGAAACATTGTAAGTTACTACTTATAATGCTTACATTTCCTCAGTTATTCAAACAGCAGCTACAGAAAACGAGCAAAGAACATTTACATTATTAAAGAACATCATCACAAGCTCAGTCTAGCGCGAGTTTATGCACTTTAAAAAAACACTCCCATTATAATCAGTGAAGCCGTCTACACTGTACGATGAATAAATCTCTTATACTTACATCGCACGTACATTTGCACTTTGTTTATGATGAGAGAATTCAAGAGAGAGCTGAAATCAGTCAGAGAGCAAACAAAACTCCGCTGTTTCAGCGATGACTCATCTGACCGCCTCTGATTGGCCACTGTGTTCATAAACTCAACGGAATCGTGTGATTGGTTAGTACACGCAACACTGTAAAAACGTGTAAGCCCTAATATTAACTAGATATAATTATCAGGCTAGTACTACTAATAATAATGGTCTTGCTATTGTCAAAGGCATCAGCCACAGACGATATACCGGTAAAAAAATTCTCCCAGCGATAAGAATTAGTCTTCCTGCGATAATAACGATAAAGTCTAGTTGTTGACATATTTCTGTGTGCGACCGTGCGGAGCGACACGGAGGAAGGCGGACGTGAAATTGAGGAGGAGTTTATCGCTAAACGAGGAGCTCCTTCTATAATCTGGAACTGGTTTGGTCAGAGCTGTACAGTGCACAAAAAATCAGTCTGAGCCTTGAATAAATGTACTACAGTAGCGATACAGTTTTGCATGTGTATGAGCCCGTTTACAAACCTGTTGTCCAACAAAGATATCATTTATTGACATGCTTCTTCTCCAAATTAGCTTTATAGCATCAGTCGAGTGTTTGAAATAACTTTCTGTGATCAGACGTGGTTTTAATATCACAGAATGAGGCAGAAAGCATACTATTTTATAGTATTATATACAGTGATAAAGGCTATGTCGATTAGCATTGCATTATAAATATACTTATTAAATACCCAAGATTGCTTGAAGAACGCAGATAAGCCATATATTGTCGCAATCGTATGTTTATTGTCTTCAAGTTTCCTCAGTTAAAATTTCTCTATCTGCGTTTTATTCAGCAATATACTTTGTCCATATTAGGGATTTCCTGGAGCGTCAGTGCTATTACTTCTGCGATGCATGTGGAGTTTCTGCGCAAGAGCGCCCTCCGGCTTCCAGTATGAGTTAAACACTCATTACATTACGTGTGTACTCAGTAATGCTCACAACACCCTATTTTGGGTAAAAATAGGAAACATAATACTTTTCTCTAAAGCAGTGGTTCTCAACCCGCGGCCCGTTACGAATCCAAATGCGGCCTACCATGATGAACACAATTAAAAAATAACTTCCAGCTTTACAATTCATTTTAGTTTTTACATTAATTAAAAAATTTACTAAACAAATATAAGCTATAATGTTTTTGTTGTGTAAAATAATTGTTTTTCATATATTATTTTCAGACATGAGCAGACCTTTGGCAGAATTCAATTCAAATAGTCATCAGCAGCCATTAGTTCGGTACAATTGAGCATCAGAATGGACAAATTTGTTATTAAGGGAGAAAAACGAAATGTGTAAAATGCCAGCGAAGAAACACGTACAAACAGGAATATTTGAGAGTGCTGGACTTTCGGTTTGCCCCGACACTCGCTTGAAGATGTTCAGGCAGAAGGAAACACGTACTACGCAGCAATCATCCTTAACTGCAGAAATGTGGCAAAACATCTCTGGAGAGAACCTCAGATTATTACATTCGAAAGTGCTTTCCATATTTGGATCAACATAGGCTACATTTGTGAACGCACATTTTCTGCAATGTCACGCGTCTTACAGACTGCAGCTTACTTCATTGTGCTGTTACTCCTTTCGAGACGAATTTCACAAAATTGGTCAGCTCCCGACAGCATCAGGTGTTTTATTAATGGTGAGTATAATTATTTATTTATTTCAATGAATGTAATCGATTAGATATCATAATATTTAGCCTATAATATTATAAATCTGGTTGGTTTGTATTGGTGACATAATATGTAAATGATGTGCGGCCCGTGGGACTTGCACTTGGACCATAGTGCGGCCCAGTGGAGAAAAAGGTTGAGAACCACTGCTCTAAAGAAACAGGATTTTTCATCTCTTGGTGGATGCATAAGATTCCCTGAATTATCGTCATTGATATCGTTATGGCAATAAATACCAGAAGTTATGGTGATATATTTTAAACCCCAGATGCCCATCACTACTCACCACTTTGCCGGGTCTCGCCCACGTGCAAATAAACCCCTCCTGACACGCGGTGACTATACAGTCCTCTAGAAAGATAAGCACGGTGAGTCTCTCGTGCGCAATCTTTTTACAGATGAGCGGCTCGAGCAGCGGCACGTCCTCCATGCGCGGACACAGCTGCGTGCCCAGAGTCTTGGCGGGGGCTGTTTTGGTTTTGGTCAGCAGGTTGAGCTTGTCGCTGCTCTTGCTGCTGATGTGGCCCATGCTGTGGTTGCGCTTGTGGTCTTTGTCGGGGTGCCGCTCTTTGCGGTCGT